AAACAAAAAAATAACTGGGCAAAAAAATACAATTAAAAAGAGGACACAGGACTGACATCTGGGACCCTCTGGAATCAATTTTTCCGGCCGTTCATCTATTTTCATTTTTCTGCTTTTTTGGGAGGTTTCATTATAAATCATTTGATTAACATTTTGTTGATACAATGTACTTCATTATGATCAAATCATCTAGCTACCTTTAATCTCTGAGGTCCTTAAATATTGTTGTCATCACACCAATGAAATTACTTAACCTGGTTCCAAAAGTTAAGAATATCTATGACAAGTAATAGATGTAAACTGTAAACCAGTGTGTCATGATTTGACCAAGTACCCTATGTTACAACAAAGTTCAATGTATTAGAATGAACTTTTATGTTTTAAAAAATAGTTCATTCTGCCTGATATGAAAATCTCTATAGAACTTTAAATCCTTGTTTTTGGTCTTAAAATATTTAAAGAGTAAATTAGTTACTAGAACTTAAGTAGGATTTTTTTAATATAGTTCTGAAGAATTTCACCTGTATTTCAAATAAATGCATTTCCTACATATAACTGTATTTTACTTACAGTGATGGCAGATGTTCAAAAGCCTAAAACAGAGATGGACTTTTGCAAAGATCTGTTAGGTGATGAGAATAGAGAAATTATAGATGTCATCAAATATCAAATTCGTCTCGAAAAATATCCAGGCAACAGATCATTTCAATCTTCCTTAGACATTGCTATGGCTAAATTACAAACTGCAATTTCAAAAGAACATAATACACTAAAGAAAGTCTTTTTAGAATCAAAATTAAATCCTAAGATATCTGGTAAACTAAAAAAAGCAGAAATTCTTTTGAAAAAATGGAAAATATATTTCTTTTAACTCAATTTTGGTCGGGTTTCCATTTTTACTGAATTCAAATGGTGATCACCTTGTTGTGGTGATAAATTTATCCTAGATTTGGAAGGATTATTGGGTTTTTCTTTTTTTGAAACTCATATTAATAAGCTGAATGTTACATGTATGTTATTTCAATGAAAGAGAAAGCAATTCAAAATGAAAATCTTGTTTTTATTGAACTTTCATTGGACTGCTTCAATATCTATTTTACATGTTGATGTATATACATGTACAATGTATATGGTAGTTAAACCATCAAAACTTTTCAAGCAAAATGTTATTTGTTGGCAACCAAACACTAACGTTACTTAGTTTTTTTTATCTTCATTTCAAAAACTAACAGTAGTCACTTGACAAAAATAAAAGGTCAACATTGAAACCAAGTGTTTGTATACTTTGAAGGTTTTATGAAGTTTGAGTTTATGTAATAAAGATAATGTTAGTGAAAAAATGTAAATACCATTTCTGTGAGCTTCCTCTCAACAAAAAACATGTGGTTTTAACAATGGATGGTATTTAAATATAGACAATTGCATAACAATAAATGAGAATAAGTTATGTTCAGTTATGGTGACAGGGAAATATTAAGGTGGCAGTTAAAGGTGTGCACAATTTAGGTACTTTTGAGTTATTTGATCTGTATCCATCTACTTTGAACTGTTTAATAGGTTTCCAGTTACAGTAACAAATTTTGCAATTACATGTGCAATATTAATATTTAACCAGTTACATTGTCAAAATGGATGTCAAGCTTATCTACCTAATCATTTATTTTTTATTAATAAAGAATGAAAACATATAGGTTAAATGGAATATTTTCTATACTACTTTGTCTTAATATATTATGAATTCTGGATTTTTGCTTACACACTTACTTACATGCTAAGGATTACAATTATATATTTTTCTCAAATTTGTCAAATGCAGAAAATTTAACAAAGAATAAAGATTTTAAACATTTTAAGACTTTTATGTACATGAAAAATTTGTTTATTCTAATACATTCATAATCATATCATAAATATATTGCCACTGAAAATTGTGTTGTTTTAATTTATTGAAAATTTGGAAATACAAATGTATATAAAAAAGATGTGGTGTGATTGCCAATGAGACAACCCTTCACAAGAGACCAAAGTTAAATGACACAGAAATCAATAACAACTATAGGTCACCATACAGCCTTCAACAATGAGCAAAACCCATACTGCATAGTAATCTATAAAAGGCCTCGAAATGACAAATGTAAACCACTTGTCTTCAAACAAGAAAAGTAATGGCCTAATTAATGCACAAAAAAATGAATAAAAAACAAATATGAATATGTAACACAGCAACAAACGACAACACACTATCCTGACTTATATAGGACAGGCACATACATACATAATGTGTTGTAGTTAAACATGCTAGGTTTTTGTAGCAACATAAGCGATGAAATTTTAAAAAAAAGTGGCAGGACAGGAATTTTGAGTAAAAGAATCCAGGACATGAGTTTCAAGTAAAAAAAACAAAACAGAATGAGCGACTGGGCAAAAAAAAATCCAGGATAAACTTGTAAAAAAAGACAGGACCGAGTTAACTAAACAAGAATGTGTCAGTTTTCGGTAGAGTTGTTTTAAAGAGATGGGAGTTTTTTCTGCTGTTGACCATCCACAAGAACTTGCGGTCATCCAATGTTCAGTACTTCAGTACTTTGATAAATTCTGTCTGCACCTAATATTTTTCAGAAACATATGGAACTTGTTCTGAACTCTGTTCCAATTTGTTTTATTGGACTTCAGATGGATTTTGTTAGTTCAAGAACTAACTTACCCAGCCCACCCATGTCTCCTTCCAGACTTAGGACAGGTGCAAAACTGCCAAAATCATGTATTTTGCCCAAAGTTCATGCATTGTCATCTAATTATTTTCTGTGATCTATGATTTTCTCTATAATCTTGCAATTTTTGCTGAATTTCATGCATTTGTTGAAAATTTGGCACATCTGCAAGTGCATGTAAAATATAAAAACCCAGAGACAGACAAACAACAAAAAAAGAATTAGGGACATGCCCCCAGATTGAAAATTTGTGATACTTTTGCGGCATAGCAACTTTAGATAACATATGTATAAGGCCAATTATAACATACAAATAGCCAAATGTATCAAATAGAAATTAAAGGGATATATCAAGTAACAACTTATCAGTTAACATAGGGCTTTTTTCTTCCGATTCTTCATAGTTTATGAAAATTAACTTTAATTAGATTACAGTACAGACTGTAATAGCTGCAGAAAAGTACATGTAGCTCTTCTAAAGCCCCTGTGGTTTTTTTTTTATTGTAGTGCACAACATCTATGGTCCACAAACAAACAAAAATAACATCAGGACCTAATCTAGTCCAAATAGTCATGATAGTTATAACGTCTTTGAAGGCTATTTTAAATTTTTGCTTTGACGCCTTCCTGCGACGTAAGGCGTCAAAGCAAAAAAAATATAATAGCCTTTAAAGACGTCATAGTTATTTGACTAAGACTTATATATATAATGAATCATGATTGAGCTGGGGTTTCACAGCTTCTGCAACAAAAACAGGGAGCCTTAGTTAAAATATTGCAACTTGTGCAGTGTTTTTTTGGTCATTTGATGTTTAGGCCTCACCAATTTAATTACTTGTTCGACGGACCCGCCCGCACCAATTTTTTTTAATTATATATAATTCTTTTGGAAAATATGAGCCCTTTAGTACTAAAAAGTGTTTAACAAAAAAAATATTATAACTTATATTGACCCCTTTATAAATGGGATATTAATAACATAGGGGTTGTTCCCAACCTGATTATGACATGGATGGAGAAGTCTTATTGGCACACATACACCATCTAATTATTCAATTATATCTTGGTGAACAGGGAAAAAACACTTCATAAACAAAAGAAATGTCAGAGTACAAGTGATAAATCAAGTTTTAATATTGTAAAAACCTACTATTTTAAGTTTTTAAAAATAAAAATATAATCGCTCGCCTTTACTTTTCAACCTTCGGCTCAAAAATTTTCAGATTAAATATTTTTTTACAAAAATTTTCAAATCGCTCGCTCGCCCCAATTTTTGGAGGTCAAAACTCCGTAAAACAAGAAATCAAATTGGTGTGGCCTTAGTATAACTTAGAAAAAATAATTAAAAAGTTAATACACAGGAATTATGAAATTATAGACAGTAAATTTTAGTAGCCAATCACTGTGCATCTGCATGTGTGTCACCTTGATTTTAATAACATTTCAGATTCCTGTGCAAACAGAGAGATGCACCGAACAGCTGTACTTATTCAGTTTATAGCCTGCCACAAAAGTTGAAGAATTCTGTATTTAAATTTTCATATGTCTGGAGATACTTCGTATTTGAAATGCCAATTAATGGTCATTTCAACTGCAATTTTTTCAGGCGCAATTTTATTATGAATATATATGACAGGTTTTCGCAATAGATAGCAAATCATCAAACTAAAGAAATGATAAATTAAATATCCTCTTGACAGGCATCGCTAATTCAACGGATTTAAGGCAGGCGACACGACCAACAGGATAGAAGCACGTGTTCTGGTCAAAAATTGACATTCTGACACCAATATATCCGCTAATAGAGGTATTTTCTCCATTATTATTTGACTTACTTGATGCATGCGATCATAAATGTCCTAACAATCACTTTTCTTGCCCAAAGAAACATAATTCTACAGTTTATTTCAGGTTTTTCTAGGAAAAGTCACTTTACTCGTTGAACAAACAGGTGCCCTCAACATTCAGAATACAAGCATCCAAAAGACCTCGAGGAGATTTTGATTGGTCGTTTAGTCTGAATAGGCGGGGCCAAGTCCGCGATAGAAAAACTGCTAAGATAAATAAACTTTACTTATAAATGTAATTAGTATGGCAAATCATAGTACCTTAAATAATTATACACCATATCGAAATACTTTTGACAACAATGCATCGTCTGTATTTACCATATAACGAAATCTTTCCTTGCGACGCTCAGTGTGCATTGATGACGTCATGAATAATAATAAGGAACATGGAGTTATCTCCGCTTGGTAAAAAATCCGGGAAAAAATGTCCAAAAATGCCTTAACAGTCCCGCGTAGCTTTTCCTAGTACAAATCCAAGATGTGTTGTTCCATTCTTATCAGTAGTTCGTATGTAGGCAACTGCCGCAACAGCTTTTTCAGATGAATCAGAAAATATACAGAGGTCCTTGTTAAGTGTCCAGTCTGAACTGTAGTTTCTAGGTATCTCCACTTGTTGGAGAAGTTGAAGAGAATCTTTCCAAGATTGCCATTTCGACTGAAATTGCGGAGGTAATGGTTCGTCCCATTCAGTGGATTCTTTCATAGTTTCACGAAGAATAAGTTTTCCAGCAATGGTTACTGGTGCCGCAAAACCTAATGGATCGTACAGTCCATTGATAACTGAAAGTACACCACGTCTAGTAAATGGTTTATTGTCTAATGATACTTGAAAGGTAAAGTTATCCGACTGAAGATTCCAACTGACCCCAAGACTACGCTGTACAGGAAGACAATCGTCACTAAAGTCAAGATTTTTCAAATCTTCAGATAAATCGTCTTTTTCGAATGCTGCCAGAACTTCATTCGAATTTGAAGATATTTTATGCAGGCGTAAATTGCCGAATTCTTGCAATGCAGATTGAGTTCTTTTTAACAAGTCTACTGCCTTGTCACTGTTTGAATGAGAAGACAGTGCATCATCCACATAAAAGTTATTATTTACATAGGTTACTACATCTGATCCATATTTTGACTCTGCCATTTCAGCGGTTTTACGTAAGCCAAAGGTTGCGACAGCTGGAGAAGGGCTGTTTCCAAACACATGAACAGCCATTCTATAGTCCACTAAATCTTTCTCCATATCATTGCCTTCATGCCATATGAATCTAAGAAAATCTCTATGCTCTGGCGTTACATTGAAACTATAGAACATCTGTCGAATGTCTGCTGTAATTGCAATTTTATCCTTCCGAAACCTCAATAAAACTCCAAGCAAGCTGTTAACAAGGTTTGGTCCTGTCATCAATACGTCGTTTAGAGAAGTTCCTTGAAATTTAGCGGATGAGTCAAAAACAACTCTAATGCGATCCTTCTTTTTCGGATGATACACCCCAAACATAGGAAGATACCACATTTCTTTCGGAGTCTCTGTATTTTGTGCTCGTTCAGCATGATTATTGTCAAAAAGAGTTTTCATGAAGTCTAAGACATGTTGTTTTTTAACAGGATCTTTACGCAAACTTATATCAAAGGCTCTTGCTCGATTTAGAGCTTGTAGACGATTATTTGGTAGTAACAGACGTGATTTCTTGAAGGGAAGTGGAGCAGTCCAGTTTTGATTTTCATCTTGTTGTATTTCATCTGACATTAAGCGCATAAACTTTTTGTCTTCAATTGACATACCTTGGCGGTTGTCATCAGGCTCAAGTTTAAACAAAGACGTTGATAATTTTTCTGAAATATGAATACTATTGTCACATGGTTCAAATATTGATGGCCTCCCATCTTGTTGTACAAAAGTTTTCATAGCATTGACAGTGCTAGGGTAATGCGCTCCATCCAGACAAGTCTCGCCTACAATAACCCATCCCATCTTGAGCTTCTGAGCAAATGGTTGATTATGACTTCCTAGCCTTTGTTCCAGTATGTGATGAGCTTCCACTGCATCTCTCCCTATAAGGAGTAAAATTTCAGCATCCTTATCAAGGTGCGGTATCATGTGTGCAATAGATTGCAAATGAGGATGAGCTTGAGCAATTTCATTTGTCGGAATTTCTTGTCTATTATTTGGTATTGAGTCACACTCAATTAAAGTTGGGAGATCTATGCAGTAATTGTCTTCAAGCGATTCAATTATGAAACCCTTTGTTCTCCTACCGGTCATAGTAAACTGACCACTACAACTAGCAAGTGAATATTGTTCTGGTTCAGTATTCACCTCAAAATAGTCTAATAACTCTTTCCTTGCTAATGAACAGTTGCTTTGTTCGTCTATGATTGCATAAGTACGGATTGGCTGTTTATCCATTGTTGTATGTCTTACATTAACCAACACAATTTTTGCACATGATTTTCCTGCAAATGTATTTCCACAAATTTGAGTACATTTCGAGTTAACAGAACTCTCCCCGCCTTGACTGTTGTTGGGTTTCTGGACTCTATCCTGACTTGCGTAAATGTGCATAGCCGCTGTGTGATCAGTACTTTTGCATTCAGAACATAAAACATTCTTGTCACAATTGCGAAAAATGTGTCTCCCAACACAACATTTAAAACACAAACCATTTTTCTTCAGTAGAGCTCTCCTATCTACAATACTCATGTGTCTAAAAGCACGGCACTCATCCAGTAAGTGATCGCTATTATGTATGGCGCAACGCATTTTAGAGTTTTCATTGGCGTGTGGTTCATGTTTGTCTTGTGAAACATTTGTCTTTTTAACAGCAAATTGTCGTGTCTTAAATGGTTTGTCTTCGTTCTTGGGGGCAACATATGTATCGCTTTCAAATATAAATCTAGGATCATTTATAGTTGAAGCCATGTCATTGATGAAGTCACAAAAGTATGTGAATGGTGGATATAGAACTGAATGTATTCGTTTGTATGTTACTGCTCTATCTCGCCATTTAGTTTGCAGGTTAATAGGAAGTTTGACAATTGTAGGATTCACACCGACGGATGTGTCGAAATATGCTAGTAGTGCTGCATATTCTTGTTTTTCTTTAACTGAACGTATTTCTGATAATACATCTGAAAGTTCAAACAATTTTTTCTTATCTTTATATGTTATCTTTGGAAAAGCCTGTAATTTTTTCTGCAGGGCACTTTCGATCATTTCTGGGCAACCATAACGTAGAACTAATCTGTTCCAAGCACGTGATAATGCCACAGTTGGATTTCCTGAATTTGAAATTTTGATGCTGTTAATTTGACGTGATGAGTCAGGTCCTAGCCATTTGATCATTAGGTCAATTTCTTCAGCAGGACTCGCGTCGATTTCTGACATTACACATTTAAAAGTGTCTTTCCATGATAAATAATTCTCTGGACGGTCATCATATTTCAAAAGTCTAGATATTATTAAGTCCTTTTTCATCAAAAATTTTGAAAGTTCCTGGCCATAGTTTAGACTTAATGTTCTGTTGTTGTTTGTATCAGGAATTTGTTCAATTGTCTCTTTATGTATTTGTTGCACAATTTGATTTGCACTTGACACTTGACTTGCTATTTTTCCAGTTCTCTGTATAGGCAGTTCTTCATTCATGTGTTCGTCATTGCGTAAGAAAGTTTGTGTGTCAATGTTGTTCACAGCTGGCGCACTGTAGTGAACCGGCGTTTCTTCATTCATGTTTTCCTCATTGTGTAAGGAAGTTTGTGTGTCTATGTTGTTAACAGCTGCACTGTTGTGAACCTCGTATTGCCTGTTAACATGTTTACTTTGCTCAATAATATACTTAGCCGTTCGTTGTTCAGTTAACGATGGGGATGAAACCTCTGTTTCCCTGTCTGATTCATCAAATACTTCCTCCATAGCATGCAGTTCAGCCTCTGCAACTGCTACGTCACGTTTTGCTTCTAATTCTTTTGTCATTTTCTCAAGTTTCGCTTTTTCTAAAGTAGTGTTCGCTTCTAGTTGTGCTTTCTGTTGCACAAGGGTTGATTCTTGGTCGACATACTCTAACCTCTTTCTGGCTGCCTCTAAATTAGCTTTCTGTCGCATCATTGTAGAGCTAGCATTGCTACGCCCTGATCGTCTAGATGTGCTTGATCTATGGCTCCTAACTGAGTTGCTGACATTAGGTTCTTTTTTCAATTCTTGTTTCATTTGAACATCTGTTACTGGAGTAGTAGTGTCTTTTTTCACCTGTTCACCTGTTTGTATGAAAGCTTGAGTAGGTTCATGAGGTTTTAACTTTGATAAAGAATAATTCATTGCAGTTTCAGTTTTATGCATGTTGACACTGCGTATTAACTGATGGGCTATGAGTTCGCGTTGACTGTCGAGTGTATTTTTACGTTTCAAATAATCTATATAACAATCAGATAAGTTAATGTATTTATTTGTTGTTTCTTCCAGTTGGGCAGCTGCTGAAGCTATTTCCTCATGCCTTGCTTCATTGGATAGCAAAATAGAGATAAGTCTGTCATTTTCCCTGCTTAGTGTAGCTAATGCTTGTGAATATTTATCAACCTCACCTAGGTATTGTTCATATGCTTTCGGTGTTAAATGTTTTGTCCTTCCTTCCTCCTCTCCATCACCACTTGTCGCCATGCTGATGGATCTTTTCACTGTTCTGCCTTGGGCGCAGAGAGTTAAACCATATATATGTAGATCATTTTATTCAATTAAACATTCAATGCGTCAGGAGCTGACAGATCATGAAGCCACATACATTTGGTGAAAAGCTACAATATAAAAAATAAAAACTAATAACTAACATTGTTAACTACCAACTGTAGTAATAAAATACAAAAAATCTATGATTGAAAACACTCAAATCAATGAAAAACACAATTGACAAAAAAGGGGGAGAATGTACTGAACTGACTTGACTAGAGTTGTACAAAAATTGCTGTCTTCATAAAAATTACATATGACTTAGAAATATACCAAATAATACTGTTTTCGCATACAAATAAAATATTACAAAGTTCACACATGATTATTTACACAAATGCCATCGTTCGTAGAATGTAAGCTGTTTGGATATATGCTTTCTCATGACTTATACCGCAAATAACATAATAATAGCTTTAACTAGAATATATAGTACATAATGGCATTATTACTTACATCGTAATTCACCAAGGGACAAGGAGAATGATAATGTTCTTCGTAATTATGTTCAAAAATTTATCAAGCCATGCTGCAGGAAATGTAAAAACAATGTGTAAAACAAAAACAAGTCGGATTAACCACAATTATCAAAAATGCAGGTTGCGTATAAAGAGGGATAACTCTAATGATATTCTTGGCATTACAACCAGGGTTTTCGATATCACAAACTAGTCAAAACATTTACTAAATGTTATCATCGGTACAAGGACATCATTCGTAAATATAATTCAACATGCAGACATCTTATACGTTCAGGCATTTCGCATCCAATTTTTTATGGTAATATTCTTTACAAAGCACAACATTGTCGGCATTCACCTCAAAAGCTAACAAAACCTTTAAACAGACTTATTAAGAAGGGATTAGTTACGATACTGTTGTCAGGTCATTAAAGATTGCATATTTTGGCTTTAATATTGATTCACTTATAGGGTCTTTGCATCGGAAATAAGCTTTTTTATTCTAAAACCAGTTGTTTGCATGCTACAGGTTATGGTCTCATATTTTATGATGAAATAATACTAAACCCATAACGGATGGGATTGTACTCAATATTCATATGGTAAAGACATAATCTTGCAATCGGTTTAATTGGGGTCTGGATCTGGCAAGGCAGTAAACTGCTAGTAGACCTTTGATAATTTATGTATTACTAGAACACACCCGCGAAATCGCGGGCATTCGAGCGTAATTGAAAGTATGTAAACTGTTGTAGGATGAATTTTTGTAAAAGATTTATGACTAGAGAATTTTAGGAAAGGTATCAAAAGTCATCGGTACTTGGGGACAGGACAATTTTTTTAGCCCTCCCCCTTTTTCCACAGTCCGTTTTTTTTTTTTTTTTTTTCTGTATACTATGAACATACATATACTTTAAATAAAGTATATTTGCTATTTACTATCAATTCCAAGTTTACTATCCACGGCGGTCACTGATATATTATATAGACTAGGAGACTATCCACGGCGGTCACTGAAATATTATATAGAGAGTACTGCCGTTGATAGTAAACTTGGAATTCATAGTAAATAACAAATACACTTTATTTATAGTATATGTATAAATAGTATACAGAAAAACGCGAAAATAATTGTCCTGTCCCCAAGTACTTATGAAAATTATGTGTAATTTTATAGCAGTCCTAAACGGAAGTCTTTTCAATGAATTCCGATGACGGAAACAATATCCGGACGCCTTTATTTTCGTTTTCCTCCCAAAATAAACCAAACTGAATAATCATAAGCGAGGATGACAAATGCGAATATGCATGATACCTAAAGGACACCGAGGCATGATGATTAATTTATTGGGGAAGGAAGAGAAGCGACACACAAAATGAGGTCTTCTCGTTTAACAGTATAGATTGTCATTTTGTTTAGTTTCCTTTGTTATCTATTCTGACATCGGACTCGGACCTTTTTTGAACTGAGTTTCACTGTGCGTATTGTTGTGTGTTTGTTTTATCTACATTGACTAGAGGTATAGGGGAGGGTTGAGATCTCAGAAAACATGTTTAACCCCGCAGCATTTTTCTACTGTCCCAAGTCGGGAGCTTCTGGCCTTTGTTAGTCTTTTATGATTTTGAATTTTAGTTTCTTGTGTATATTTCGGAGTTTAGTATTATGTCCATTATCACTGAACTAGTATACATTTTTGTTTATGGGCCAGCTAAAGCACGCCTCCGGTGCAGGAGTTTCTCGCTGCATGGAAGACCAATTGGTGGCCTTCGGCTGTTGTCTGCTCTTTGGTCGGGTTGTTGTCTCTTTTGACACATTCCCCATTTCCATTCTCAATTTTATTACAGAAAAAAGTCAAGAAAACAACATTTAACAACCAGGCCCAGCTAATCTCTTAAAAATGGCTTTAAACAGTAATGAAAGACATTATCTTTCTAGGAGAGGAATGCGTATTAATAAGTGAGACTATGTAAGGTAAAAAGTTTCATAATTTACTTGTGAATATATTGATTTTTTTTTTGGGGGGGGGGGGGGGGGGGGGGGGGGCTATCAATCAGCTATTCATATTTGGTTTGTTTTCTATTCATTTATGATAAATATGTTCAAAATAAATACTTATGATGTTCAATTGAATTTATTTGTTAAATTTTGTATTATGATGCAAAACCAACTTTTTATAGCTGACTATGCGGTATGTACTTTGCTCATTGTTGAAAGCCATAGGGTGATCTATAAATGTTAATTTCTGTATCAATTGGTCTCTTGTGAACAGTTCTCTCATAGGTAATCATTCACTTCTTCATTTTTACAATTAATACAAAATTCTTTATAAAAAAATTATCACAGTTAAAGACATATTAATCATTTATACGTGGCATAAAAATGTAGACGACCATAATTCTGAAATCTGCAATCCAAATATATCTTTTAACCTAATGTACTGGTAGTATTTAATATTTTAAATGTAGTACAACTTGAAGAAATAATTATTATTATTATTTGTGCAGAAAATGAATCAGGATACAGAAACGATTCCAGAGGGCTATGTTCCACTCTCGGAAGGGCATCCAATATATGTCCCTGTCAGGTGGCTGACTGCAAAAAAGGGCAGCTTCAAGGGAAAAACAAAATCGGGTTGCTTCAAATTGATATTGAATGGGTTTTTCCAACCACAAAAGTTGTTGGCATGCCAGGTGGCCAGTTATCTGAAACACACTTAGGACAGACATTAAAAGGTATTTAAAATTATTATTTTACTCAAGCAGAAAAAGAAACAGCAGTAGCAGTAGAACATTTGGGAAAATTCAACATGGACCAAACTGACAAAAACTTTACATTAGAACATCTAACCCAGAGGGACATGTCTTTGCCAGAATCGCTTAGTTTGGATACCACTAAAAATGATAACCAAGTAAACTTTTTTGACATCGACTTTACATCTCCAATGCAACATACAACACCAACAGTCGGAGCAACAATCAAAGCCATTAACAACATCTTTGAGAAAAGACATCATATTCTTACATTAGAATACACAATGAAAAAAGAATCAACAAGAACACCCATATCGTTTAATACGAACATTGACTTTATACCATTTTATGGATCGAATGAAGCGAAAGACATCTGCGTATGGAAATTAAAGGCTATACGATAAGAATCCGACCAGTATATGGAAAAATTAACCGCATCCTGCAAGGAGTTTACTACCAAATGTACCGTAGATGCTGATAAACTTAAACTGGAGCTGTTCAAAGAACTAAACTCGTGTTCTGAATGTGGTAACAAGGCTATCACCGAGTTCAAACAAGTGGACGGAAGAATACAGAACATGTGTTAAGAGAATGAACTAAACATCCGGTAACATCACCAAGTTTAATAGGGATCGAAACCGCCCTTACTAAAACAGACACGAATCTATCGGCAATTTAATCAGAAGATAAACTGTGCATTTGAGTATATTACGCTATTTGTTCTTACTTAGTTTTTGGACTATTATATCACTATACAAATGTAAGTCTATCTCCAGATTAAAACACTAAACTTTTATACGATAGATGCTGGTATTTATTTCTATTTTTAATTTACTACGACTGGCTAGTCAATGTTTGGAGAAAATTATATAAATATTGGCCCTATCAACTGCCACTGTACATATTTTAATAAAAACCCGATTTATTACTCCTAAAACGAAACGATATAATATCTCTCAATCTTGCACACATTAACTATGATGCATAGTATACCATTTAAGGTAGATCATAAGTATATACTTTTTGAGATAGAATTTTCTTATACTTTGCCAAAAGGAAGATTTTACTATGCTTTTTTCAAAAATATAATAAAAAGTATGGGTCACCGTGCTATTTTCCAAGCAATGAGTCGTTGAAAATTGCCTAAATTTAGTTAGATTGTTCATGAAAAAACACATTTGTGTGCATAACAAAAATTCTATGAGATAGAATTTTGAAATAAATTGTAAAAAGATAGGTTTTATAATATGTTTTAAGAAAATAAAGAAAAAATGGTGTCACCGAACTTGTTTTCTTGCTACAAGTAAAAATTAAAAATTTCCCTATCAGTCCAGTATAAATTTTTTACTAATAGAGTTATCTCCCCTTAAATGGCTTACTTGAAAAAAATGATTCTAAAAACACAAAATTTGATATTTGTTTAAATATTTTGAATAATACAATAAATCACCAAGTTTTCTTTATATAAATAAACAGTCTAACCGTTAAAATTGCAAATCTGTCTCCAAATTTGCAGATTTGAGCAAATAACTAGACCTATTTTGTACTGAGATACAATCCAAGATGGCGGTATACCATGAATCTACCTTAAGACATGTAAACAAACAATATTTCAGTAACGATTACAACAAACAAATATCTATACACTTTACAATGTAATAAAATCAACGGTACCAATTGTATAGTATTCCATTATTCAGGGATGTGCAGAAAAATGTTAAATTTATACATTTTTATATTAAGCAAAACCACAAACTACAAAACTATTCACCTTATTAACTTTCGACAAGCCATTCTATTTTTATCACAAATCTGACCCTAACATTATCTGCAGGTGATCGCTGTGTAATACGAGAAATGGGGTTCACATAGCACGTGCACCGAATCAATTCACTACTTTACAATCAACATGGCCAGACGCTTTAAACGAACTATTAAAAACAAATAGGTACGACATAAACTTGTAGAAAACAATAACAATGAAAGGAGTAAACTACATACTAAGTTGGTAAACGATGCCAAATTAACCGGCCACTTATTTTATTGATAATTACATTTCATGTTACTAGATTCAACCACTTTTTAAAGATAACTGCATAAGATGTTACATTAAGTCAGTCAGTTTCTTTATTTATAATTCTATTACATTTTATAAGATTCAACTACTTTATATTGGAATTGTAGATGTCACCTTAAGTCCGTTAGACTCTCTAGATAATTGTATTTAATTTAACATATAATTGGCCACTGCTTTAACGATAATTTTATGACATTTTACAGTAAATTTGACCACTATTTCGATGATTGTAAAAGATGTTACCTTAATCCAGTCATTTTGTTCTTCACAATTGTATAAGATGTATCCTTAAATCTGTCTTTTGATATTTTTTTTTACATTTAACAAGACTTCATCACTTTTTTTATAGA